GATGCTATTTTTTTGCTATAGTTTGAGATAATTATGTAAATTTAATATTCCTACATTGTTTGGCCTTCAAAGATAGGTATGAAATCTTTTTCTTTAAACTTTTAAAAAAATTGAAAAACATTTTTTCATATGACATATTTTGGTTATTTTTTCTTCTCATTTCCTTCCAGATTCTCCCCCCCCTTTTTCTTTTTAAAGATTTTGTTTATTTATTATGTGTACAACATTCTGCTTCCATGTATATCTGCACACCAGAAGAGGGCACTAGGGATGGTTGTGAGCCACCATATGGTTGCTAGGAATTGAACTCAGGGCCCTTAGAAGAGCAGTCGATGCTCTTAACCTCTGAGCATCTCTCCAGTCCCCTCCCCTCTTTATCCACCCAACTTGAAGCTCTTTTTTTCTCTTTCCTTAAAACAAATAAAACAACAAAAAGCCAAGAAACACCTCCTCTCACAAAAACAGAAATCAAAATAAACAAGCTAAAGATCACAAAGACCAAAAAAAAAAAAAAAAAATCCAAACAAAGCAAAATGAGGTAAAAAGAGAGACTGGATTCTCACAGCACCATGGGGGTCTGGATCCCAGTGCAGTCATTTAGGCGTGGTGTCAGTTTGAGTCAACCGATTTTTCCTTACCCTGACTTCTTTGCCTGGTAGATGGAGCCAGTACAATAGTGCCTACCACACTGCAACATCAGGGTTATTAGACTGGGGACTGACTATCCATGAAGCAGTGAACATATACATTGTAGAACTGCATTCAATATTTGCTGTTAGCATTAGTATTTTGATTATATCTTATGTTCTAATGAGATCTGATATTTCACACAGTTAGTGTGCCAGTGAAAGTGCTCCTCTATGTAAGAGCAGAGGTGACTCAAGGTAGGGCATCAAGGCATGTAGAGCCAGCCACACCAGAGGCTGTGGAGGAGAGAACTAGCTAGGAGTGTGCTGACACTTGGATAGTGTCTGTTCAAGCAGACGGTAGTAGACTCTCAAAAGAAAACTAGAACTGGAAACTGCCACCCTCAATACCAGTTCCACAGAAGAAAATGTCCCCATCCCTTTAAAACTTGATACTCTTCTTGAACATTTTTGCTTGTCTACACTAAATGAGTAAAGGTGATTTTTTTTTTAAAAAAAAGTGTAAGAAAACACCACAAAATTACTGAAGATGGAGTAATAAGAGACTCAGCTAATAAACTACTTCAGATGTGCAAGCCCCAGCATAGAGATAAAAGTAACACAAAAAATACCACAGCATGGGCCCTCCCACAATTACTAATTCTGTAGTAATGAACTCCAATGAGAACAGCTGGGAAGACCTTCCAGACAAAGAAGTCAAGAGAACTATTAAAACTGTCTTCAAACAACTCATAGGAGGGAGAAATATACTCCAAGAGAAGAGCAAAGAACTGAATGAACTGAAGAACTCAATTCAAAATATGAAAACTAATTCAATTCAATAAAGATAATTGCTGGAAAAAAACAAATTTAAATGGTCCTGGAAATTAAAAAAAAAAAATTGAAGCTCAATGGGAAATCTAACACAGAATGAATCATGTGAAAAACAGTTTGTCAGGAATGGAAGACAAAGTAGAGGAACTGGATTACTCAGTAAAGGTCAATGAGAAATTAAAAAAAAATAATCAAGCATAGGAGAACTTTTGTGACATGGCAACAGCATTATAATTATGGGCATAAAGGAAGAAGAATACCACAGTGAAGATATAGAGAATATTTTCAATAAAGTTATAGAAGAAAATTTCTCAAATCTAGAAAGAGTTGCCCACCCAAGTATAACAAGCCTTCAGAATGTCAAATAGACAGGACCATAAGAGAAACTCCCAAAGGCATATTATAGTTAAAACATTAAAAACATAGAATAAAGAGGGGTATTAAAAGCTCCAAGAGTAATTTTTGAAGGTGAGTCCATCAGAATAACAGTTGATTATTTGACAGAAAAATTAAAAGCCAGAAGTTTTTGGGAAGACATATTCCAAGTTCTGAAAGACCATAACCTCCAACCCAGATTATTATACACAGCAAAACTATCTTTAAAAGTGAAGCAGAAATAAAACCTTTTTATGTTAAAAAGAGATTAAAGGAATTTATGAGCACTAAGACAGATCTACAGAGGCTACTGGGGGGAATGCTTCAGTCAGAAGAGAAGGATAAACATACATAAGAGGTCACAGGGAATAAACAAATAACATCTGAACAATTAAAATAGATACATAAATAAATGAAAGTTTAAATTATTAAATTACTTAAATCCTTTTGCAGAGGACCTTGAGTTTAGTTTCCAGCATCCACACAACTCATGTATATATGAAGGTGTTATGTAGGCTGCTGCCGTAAAGATCTATCAACAGTTTTATTACCCAGCTGTGAACCCTGTAAGCTACAATAATGACATGTGTGACAAGATACACCACAGGTACAATAGTGGCATGAATGCTATGGTGTAACAACTGCCTCCTGATTGGCTTTAAGGCCTGCTCTCTATAGGAGTAGACTCATGGCTGGGGAGGTCATAGACACAAGGAGTGAGCCTACTACAATTATTCTGCTAAATGGACTCAGTATCAGACTGGCTTGAAGTTTGTATCTCTATACCATAGATTAGTGCAGCTCTCAGACTTCATTAGAAAAGTTTCTTTATACAGTAGATGCCCATAAATGCCACAACCCAACTGGTTTAAGTGCAGTGAATAAATATCAATGGATTCCTCAATCACAAAAGGGACGTCTATGTTTCACTCCAACTGCCCCCAAGCAAGGCTCAGGGATCACTGTGGAAGTGGGGGTTGCAAGCTTTTAAGAGTCAGGGGCCCAGGAAGATCGCTGGATATGAGTGTCTTCTGGATATAAGAGGGGTATTGCAGTCAAGATGATAGTTTATCAGGCAGCAAGTGTGGGGTTTCTATTTGCAGCTACGGTTGCCTCTCCAAGGCCTGGACAATAATGTAAGGCAAAGTTCTAGCATGGACAGAGCCTCACAAACCTGAGATGAGGGGACTTTGAGAGTTTATGGCTTTGTGGGGAGGAAGAGTCAATTTTCTTCAAGAGTATGGCCCTTGGGTTGGCCATACTCCAGTGCACAGCCCACACCCACAAGCGTATGGGCAGCATACATGGACTTGGTGAGTAATTTTTAAAAAGCAGGATGTGAAGTTGAGGAGAAAGGGAAGTTAGGAGTGGACTTGGGAGGAGTTAGGAGGGGGAGGAAAATATGATCAAAATGCTTTTTACCCATGTGTGAAATTCTTTAAGAATAAAAAGTAATTAAAAATAATCTAAAACATTTTGAATAAAATTCTATTGGCATTTCTGCACAAGTTATTTTGAAATTCATAAAATAAGATATATACATCTAGGGCTGAGGATATGACAGTTGAAGACTATTTGCTAAATATATATTATGGAATATATTGACTTGCAATGGCTGTGTACATTGAAATAGAGTCATAGTCTTCTTAAATGGAGGGAATGTTCTTGGAAAATGGGTCTCTGCTGGCTTTATTTGTCCTCCTTACAAAGCGGTTGCAATATTAAATTGAACAGAAATCTCCATAATAGCACATGAAGGAGGTCAGACCACTGACCCAAACTAGAATATCTATTATCATAGATGTGTTTGAAATCATAAGAATGACCTATTTCTATGGAAAACACTGAAAGCCTTTTTCTTTGGATTGGCTTATTATGACTGTCATGACTCAAAAGATAGACCAACAGAGCTAAATTAAGAACATTACTGTAACTTGGGTGATGGAAGTAGGATGATCAGGCATTTAAGACAAGCTTTGGTTATGCATAGAGAGCATAAATTACTCAACCCAATGTTGCCACTACCTCTCCCCAGGTATGTACGTCATATGCATAAACATCAGGCTCACACTCTCTGCCTTTTCTAGGACACAAGGCTTACACATCGGAAAAATGCCTCAAGTATCTGAGACCACTTCTGTGCAGATCTTACTGCAAAGATGATTTGCCCCAACACTATCTTATAAAATGCTGGGATTTTGTTCTTGAGAAACTTGCAGTTGGGGCTCTTTTGGGTCCTCAAAAAGATAATCATTAGAGAATCATTTTACTAAGGGTTCAGTGATGAGTAAGCTCCCACACCTCAAAAGCAGTTCAGTAGAACCTTAAAACAAAGCACCAAAAGGCAGGTGGATCTCAGAGTGAGTTCTAGGACAGCCAGGGCCACACAGAGAAACCCTGTCTTGATAAAACAAAACAAAAGAACAACAACAACAAAAAAAAACAAGAACCCCAAACCAAAAAAAACCCCAAAACAAACAACAACAACAAAACCAACCAACCAACCAAACAAACAAAAACCCAAAGCACTAAAGGCATGTGACCTATTCAAGGATGGATACCCCACACAAATCACTTTAACTGCACAAATAAATAAGTTTTTCAAAGAGCAAAAGTAGCTGCAAAGACAGGCATGGATAAAACTGTTACCTTATAAAAGATCTAACAAGATACATTACAGATCTAAATATGACCAGCCCTGTTCTAACAAAAAACACTAAATGGTTCTCTAGGTGGTGGCAGTTGGCTAAACTCCAGATACCTTTTAGTCCTTCCCTCAGGAAACACATGGTGAACACCATTAGATGCCAAGCTTTATAATTCACAAACTTAGCTATAAATGTTTTAATTTAACTTTAGAGTGAGGTACCATTTTGTTCTAAGTAATTCAAGAATGGATGGCATAACAACATTTAGGTCAACAATAGACTAGATGCAGTGCCCACAGTGTTCTGTAGATTACACTGTCAAGTGATGAGGTGTCTCAAGTTTGTGTAATTGCATGCTTTCATGTTTTCATAGTGATGAGTTGGCAAGTAATACCTCTTTTTTTTTCCTGATCATTTTCTATTAGTCACAGGTATTTATCTAAAAACATATAAGATTGAAGTGATCCAACTATATCAAACCCTCAGAAATATGAAATTTTACTCACAACTAATTTACCTGTCTCAATCCAGTTTCTATGGCCTTTATGTCTGTAATCACCATCCTGGTTTCCGGGTGTTGAGTCCATTCCTCATTTTCATCACATGGTTCCTCTTTCCTGCTTGGCTGCATCTTCTTTTGTTGAGATGTAGACTCAGCGTTTTCTTGCTTCTCACCTTGTTTTAAGGGGAACCTAAAGTATTAAAACATATTACAATTCATTTAGGAAAATGTTCATTGGTAGCACATTCCAAAGAGTAAGAAAGGATCATTCTCTCTCAACTCAAGTATTTTTAAATGTATGCAATTGTACTCTTGAATTAATTACTCATTTATATTGCTACCAATGAATACTAAGCTTTCTTTAGAACAAGTAAGATGTATTGATTCAAGCCTTTAAAAAAGATACCTATACTTTGAACAACTAATTGTATATGGTTAATTTTTTTCAAAATATTTAGAAATTCAGAAAACAAAGTTCAAATGGTATTTCTTGCAGCACCAACTGTAACAGAAAAATAGAAGAATAATCACAAATTCTCATTCCTAAATGAAGAGTAGAACTCAGCATAGTCATTTGAACTCCAGTTTTGAAGATTCTGAATTTACTTATTTAAAATGCTCACACCTAAATGAGGTGGCTACACTCTCTCCAATAATTTCTCACCTCACAGGGCTGAAAATGTTCTCCCCGTCTTGGGCGCTATTACGAAAATAGCAGCAATTAAGAAAATCCCACTGCAGTTACAATACTATGGTTTAAGTGTTTCTTCAAACCTAAGATGTCCTGGGGCTGGAGAGATGGCTCAGTGGTGAAAAGCCCTGGCTGCTCATACACAGGACCCGAGTTGTTTCATTAGGACCCATATGGTGGCTCACAGTCACCGATCAGTCTAGTTTCAGGCAATATGACGCCCTCTTCTGGCCTCTGAAGGCACTGCATGCATGTGGTACACAGACACACAGGTAGGCAGATACACATACATATAAAATGAAAATAAAAATTTTAGAAAAACAGCTAAGATATCATGCCTCAAAGTGCAGAGTTCTTCCCAGTCTGCTCCTTTATGCTGTAACCAGGATTTTATTTTCTTAATTTCTGTCTGTTCTCTCTGTATTCCACTAGCCATATTTTCCATGTTTTCAGGTTTTCTTGTAAGTAGTTCGTAGTGACTATTTTTAAGCTCCATTTGTCTTTCATATGAATGAACCTTATCCCAGAGTTTCAACAGGCTACCAGAATCTGTATGAGAGAAGATAGCATGAGAATAAATTTTACATGAGTATATGTTAAATTCTGCAGGTAAAACAAATGAGACCTTGTGTGATAAGTCTTGGCTGTCAACTTGACTACATCTGGGATTAACTAAAACCCAAATGGCTAGGCACACCTGCAAGGGTATTTTTTTCCCCTTAATCAAATAATTTAAAGTGGGAAGGCCTACTTCTAATCTAGATCCAGAAATGGGAAGACCCAGCAGGTCCAAGGACTTTCTGTTGGTAGACAGCCATTGTTGGACTAGGTGGACCACATCTTATAAGGCATCCTAAAAAATACCCTTTATATAAATATATTCATTCTATACATTCTGTGACTCTAGAGAACCCTATTAGGCCTTGCTTTTGCTTAGGTTCAAATCTAGGGGAGAAAAGACACAAATAAGATTTGTATACTCAGATAAATGAGCATTATATATTCAGATAAACACCATAAGAGACGGTCATATGGTCACCTATGAAAACTGATCTAAAATGGCCTCAAGGCAGATTGTCAAGGAGGAAAAAGCTACACTGAAATATGGAGGGAGAGCAGAAATCAGTGACACACAGAAGGTAACAAACTCTCTAGTTGGCTGATTCTTTTTTGGAGACTCCATTGTAATCTACTTCTATCCAAGATGGTGTAACAGGTACTGATTTCACTTCAACATGAAACAACAAGAAAACCGAAACAGTCAAAGTATTTTCTTTGACAATTATTAAGATAATGAATTATAAAGATAGTGGTCTATGATTGACAAAAAATAGATGAAAAAGGTCACACAATGTCATATCTCCCTGTAAAGAGAGAGTCAAGGCCAAAACACAGGGAGAAGGAAACGATGTGGAACCTTCTGGACTCACTATGGTGAGGAAGATAAATTTGATAAAACTGCGGCTTGTGGAGACCACAGGACAGCACCCAGGAGGGAAGAGAGCAGTGTGGAAGAATGCTGCAGATCTGTGGAGACCCCTTCAACAGTACACTATGACAGAACACTTGTGCAGAAGGCATCTGCTGATGATGGAAAGACCTGGAAAGCTTCCAGGGAACTGCAGCACTCCGGAATGCCAGGAGGGGGTCCATTCCCAGCAGGTCGCAGGATAAACTCTTTTTAGCCTCTACCTCCCGAGTGCTGGGATTAAAGGCATGCGCCACCAATGCCCAGCTTTTTTTTTGGTTTTCCGAGACAGGGTTTCTCTGTGTAGCTTTGGAGCCTATCCTGGCACTCGCTCTGGAGACCGGGCTGGCCTCGAACTCACAGAGATCCACCTGCCTCTGCCTCCCAAGTGCTGGGATTAAAGGCGTGCGCCACCAACGCCTGGCGCTGGATAAACTCTTAAGTCAGGGTACAGTGGGTTAGCAGAAAGGCTCTGCCAATACTGGGGAGAACTGGAGGCCGTCTGAACAGGACTAGGAAGGGTCAAGATGTTTAATGTATCTTAAATGTATCACTATTAGTTACTTTCCTATTGCTGTGATGAAACACCAGGATTAAGGCAATTTATAAGATTTTAATCTGGGGCTTACTTTTGGAGGGTTATAGCTTATTGACCATCATGGCTGTGAGCACAGCAGGAGGCAGGCACGGTATTGGAGCAATATCTGAGAACTTACATCTTGACACATAACCAAGAGGCAAAGCAAAAGAGACACACTGGGAACAGCACAGCACAGCACAGCACAGCACCAGTCTTTCTAACCCTCGAAGCCCACCCCCAGTGACACACCTCCCTAAAAAGGCCATACCTCCTAGTCCTTTCCAAACAGTTCTGCCAACTTGGGGCGGGTGGCAACCATTCCAGTATATGAGCCTGTGGGGCCATTCTCATCCACACCAACACATTCCATTCCCTGGGCCCCATAGGCTCATGGTCATATCATAATGCAATAGTCTCAATAGTCTTTCAGAAATGTCCTGGCCAACACTGGGAGTCAGGGGTGACTGGAAGCTGTTATAAGAACAGGAAGGAAGGGTCAAACTGTTTAATGTGACTTAAACATAACCCATATTGAAATTCAAAGACAGGTAGACTCATGAGATCTTCCTTTTTAAAACTTTAATTTTTCTTCAAATAAATCCAAATCAATAGGAACTTAGTTAAGAACACAATGGTGAACAAATTTAACTACAGTTTCCCCTCGAACAAGGCAGGATCGAACAGTGTCAATCCATGGATACACAGTGTTTTTTGAATTGTATTGAGCTTTCACATAATCTGAAAAATTCACAGAACCACATACCATAGGAATATTGAAAAAACTTAAGATGTATGTCATGAATGTATAAAACATACATACAAAATAGTCTAACTTTATAATTTGTTAATAAAAGAAAACATAGGAGGCTGTAACAAGCAGTTTTTCAGAGTTATGAGCATACTTCTGTCCCTATGTGATATGACTTGAAGACAAGACAAATACAAACTGGGGTTAAAGAAAAAAAGCCACAGCCTACAACTGCACTGCTGCAGCAAACTAAAAATTGCCTCCTGCTCATCCTGTTAGGAGCCCCAGTGTGAGGGCATCTGCTTAACCACACTGTGGATGCCAGCCATCTCTTAGCAGAGCAGATCTCTTTGACTCTCAGATAGATTGCTAATTGCAATCCAAATGACTTCTCGCAGCTCTCATGCCCTTTCTACACTTACCACACAGAATCTGTGTCCATTGAACAACAGTTCCCTAGGAGTTCTGTTTTAGAAGTCAAAAGATACTTGCAAATTTTGGATTGTCAGGGGTTGTCACTCCTGTGTCCAGTAAAATGTTACTGAAGAGTCAATAGACTCTAAGTAATTATGTAGCAACCTTCAGGTGAAATACATTGCCAGGCTAAATACAAAGTAAGCTACAACTATACCCTGCAATAATAACAACACCACCACCACCACCACCACCACCACCACCACCACCACCACCACCACCTAAGGGCTCGAGAGATGTTCAGAGGTTCAGACTACTGGCTGATCTTGCAGAAGACCTGAATTGGATTCTCAGCACCCACATGGTGGCTCACAACCACCTGTAACTCCAGTTTCAGGGAATCTTGTGCCCTCTTCTGACCTCTGCTGGCACTGCACACACATGGTGAACATGCATACACTCAGGCATACACACATCCACATAAAACAAAATCTAAAAATGCAATGGAATGCAAGGCCATTGTGTTCATGAACTCACAGCAACCCTGGCTATCTGCATACGACTTGGAGAATACCAAGACAGTCAACATTCCAGCATGGAGGGAGAGGACACAACCAGGAGGTTGCATACTGCCCAGTTTGTGCATCCAGAGACAAATACAAGACACAAAATTTGGCCACAGTGCTCAAAGAAATTCACAGACACCATATGAAATTCCAAACCCACCTACCCATGGAGCAGTCAGTGGGACAGTGTGGAGAGCATAAGCACGCTTCATCTTGTCAATAACAGGCTAAGATCAAAAGCAAACCTTCATCCTATTAAGTCAAAACAATTAAGAAAAGTGTTCCCTGATGATAAATCAAATTGGAATTTAATGATTAGAATTTAATGAATATTGGCAAAAGTATCAAAAAGACAGTTTATTAAAGGAGATATACAATTTAGGCCTAGTGTGTGGTTAGTTTCTAATGTCAACTTCATATAACTTAGAGTCACCAGGGAAGAGGGAACCTCAACTAAACAATCAGACTGGCTTGTGTGCCAGAATTGTAGGACATTGCCTTGATTGTTAATTGTTAATTGGCGCAGGGAGGCATAGCCTGCTGTGGATCACATTATCCCAAGAAGGTAATCCAGGCTGTATAAGACCCTATGAGAGTCAGCTGGTGAGTTAGCAACAATGTTCTTCCATGGTCCCTGACTCCAGGTTCCTCGCCTCAGTGATGGATTGTGATCTAGAAGTGTGAGCTGAAATAAACCCAGGTGCTTTCATTTGCATGGGTTATCCAAGTGACAAAAGGAAACCAGAACACAGAGTGGCACAGGGCTGTAAACCCAGCTGCCCAGGAAGTTGAGGCAGGAGTATCAAAAGCCAGTAGTACTTGAGCCTCACCATAAGAGTTCAAGGCCAGCTGAGGAACTTACCAAGACTCTTTCAAAGTAGGAAAGTAACCAGAAAGTTGGAGACACAGCTCAGTGGTACAGCACGTACAAGGGTCTAGGTTTACTCCCAAGAATCATACACTAACATCATACAAATAGAAAATAAACACATGGAAAGAAGCTTAATATTGACTTTAAAAATAACACTGAACAGTGTTGTAGAATATTAGTTGAAGATGTGTTACATTCGTTTATGCTGTGGAACATTTGTTTTAATGCTGTAGAATGAGTTACATTCCTTATGCTGCATTTGTTTAAACCTATGAAGCTGTGAATCTTTGTTTTAAACACCTGATGGTTTAATAAAGAGATGAACAGACAATAGTGAGGCAGGAAAGAGGTTAGGAGGGGCTGGCAGGCAGAGAAAATAAATAGAAGGAGAAATATAGGAGGAAAAGAAAAAAGAGCAAGATAGGACAAGAGGAGGATGCCAGGGGCCAGCCACCCAGCTACACAGCAAGCTATGGAAAAAGAAGTAAATAAAGGTATACAGAAATAAAGCAAGATAAAAGCCCAGAGGCAAAAGATAGATGGGATAATTTAAGATAAGAAAAGCTGGCTAGAAACAAGCCAAGCTAAGGCCGGGCATTCAAAAGAAAGAATAAGCCTCTGTGTGGGATTTATTTGGGAGTGCCCCCATCAAAGAGTAAAGAGTAAAAAAAAAAAAAAAAGAATGGGGGGGGGACCCAACTAGATACCTCATGTTAGCAAATAAAAACCCTGTATCAGAAATAGGTTATGTCTTTTTGAGTTGTTGTCAATGGGGTGACATTACACTGTATTGCCAACACTCTTGGTTACCCTCCAGAGCTTGACAATACAGTCCTATTGCTGAAGACAATGTATACTCGAGTAACAGGACATGGGGGAGAAATCAAGCCGGTATCATCCTGGAGGCCTCACCATATTGGCCAGCTTTCATGGCTCTGGAAGGTGCTATGCATACTGGAGGAGAAAAGCACTCGTCAGTCTCACCCAACTGTGAACCCCGAGAACTGCAATGACTAACCTGACAAGACATGCCCACTGGAGAAACAGTGGCATGAACGTCATGGGATTAGCCAACCACTTTCTGACTGGGTCTAAGGTCTGTGCCATGAGATGGAATCCATACCTAGCACTGTTAAAGGGGCCAAGAAATTGTGACTAAATAGGTCAGAGGCCCTAGGGAAGAATCTAAAATTATTATTCAGCTAAATTGACTAGGCACTAAAATGACTCCTAACTGCTATATGTCAAAATGACTTATTGCTATATTATAAATCAGAACATCTCTCAACCCTCATCAGAGATGTTTCTCCTTGCAGGAGATGGTGACTAATACAGACTCTCAGTAGTCAATGTGTAATGGAAGTGAGGCTGTGGAGTACTCACCCCAAAAGGGACATACATATCACACCCCTCCCCAAGGCTCAGGGATCCTCGAGGAAGAGGGTTTGGAAAATTCTAAGAGGCAGAGTTGTGGATAACAACAAGACACAGAAGGGCAGTTACACGTATGAAGTCACAGTGGTTGTTATGGTATGCAAAAGACACACATAAGCTCAAGCAGAAAAAAATCCCAGCATTGGGTGGGGGGAAGGTGGGCATAAAATTCAATGACTAGCTGAGGAGCTACTGACATTTGATAGAAGTGGGGAGAGAAAGAGTCAGTTTTCTTTAATGATGGGACCCCTGGTAGGTCACAAAGATGCCAGGGTAAGTCCCATCCCCAAGACTAACTGGGCAACATGGGGTAGAGGGGGCAAAACTCAAAATTGGTGAGAAATGGAGGGAGGGTGGTTTGGGGAGGAGCTAGGGAAGTGCAGATAATATGACCAAAATACATCATATGCAATTATCAAAGAATTACTAAAAATATTGTTTAAAAATATTATGATATCTACAGTAGCCACCTACTGGAATGGTGGAAATGAAAAAGGCCCATGATGCTACTATGTAAAAATGCAGAGGAGTTGGACATTGTAACTCTTATGTATTGGTGATGTGAGTGGAGAATGAGTTATGGACTTTTCCGATGAATTGGTAGCTTCTTAATGGGGAAATAAGACAATTGAAACAGCTGTGGAGAAAGATACATTGTTACCCACGCTGACAATGGTGGTGAAGTGTGTGTTTAAATATTCAGACACCTACCTAACACATGGCACACTTTACATACATGCAATTTATTTTTGTCAAGAAGACCTCAGCAGAGTTACTGAAAACACATGGTTCTGTTACAGGAACAACTGTCTAAGGGATAGTGGGTTGAAGAGAGACCCACAAAAAGCTAGAGCAGCCAGGGAGAGTGGGCTCCTGGCAGAAGTGACAGTAGAGGAATAAGACAGGTCCTGAAGTTTCAAAATAGATAGTGCTAGGACAGAATGGGCCAAGGTTCAAGAAGGTAGAGTTCTAAGGTTACTACAGCCAGATGAACTGGCTGTGGATGCTTCTCACATTGGGCACAGCGAAGCAGGAGTCCACGGAGCCATTTGGCCATGAGTTTGAAGTGGTTCTCTGTCTAGTATGGTATAGAGGGCATCTCCTGTGGGCCCAGAACCTGAACACTTCAGCGTTCTGTGACTCAGGACTGAGAGATGAACAAATAGGACCCAAATACAGCAGAGGCCTCCTGTTACACAGCGCCCTGTCCCACATCCCTTTAAGGGGTTCACTCAACCACAGGTGGACTCAAAGCAAGGACAGGGCGACTCACCATTGTCAGAGGCTGTTGCAGAAGGCTGACTTTGACTGTTGGCTTCTTCCATTTCATTTACTTGGGTTTCCATCTGTAAAATAGCCCTAGTTCAAAATGTCCCCCAAATTTATACAGCAGGTAGCAAATGCACAGACATGGCAGTTTCCAACTTTAATAAAACACATAAGTAGAAATGTAATTCTAGATAAAACTGATTTTGTCAAAGGAAACCCTGATTAATTAACATCTCCTGTTTATCAGTAATTAATTAATTTTGAGACAGATTTTATTATGGCCTAGAACTTTCCATGAGAGCAAACTGGCCTTGAACTCACAGACTTCTGCCTGTGTACCACCACACCCAGCCCTAATGTCTCCTGTTTCTTAATTTCTTTTTCTTTCCTTCTTTTTTTTTGGTTTTTCAAGACAGGGTTTCTCTGTGTAGCTTTGGAGACTGTCCTGGAACTCGCTCTTGTAGACCAGACTGGTCTCGAACTCACAGAGATCTGCCTGCCTCTGCCCCCTGAGTGCTGGGATTAAAGGTGTGTGCCACCACTGCCGGGCCTCTTAATTTCTTTTTCAAAACATACTCCTTTACAAAAGCCGTTTTACTTTACCTTCATAATATATTTCAGCTGATAAAATATCATATTATCTTTGATAACATATCTTAATAAAATAATGCTTTGATACTTTTTACTTATAACTAAGACTAGTATTACAAATTGCTTTGTTATTTTTAATTAGAATGTTTATTATTGTATGTAATAAAAAAAGCTGCCACACTGTGCATGTGGAGTGTCTTCTCTTTCCCCTTAACATGGATTCCAGGAATCTAACTTGACCTCTTGGCTTTTTGTAGCAAGCATGCTGAGCTACCTCACCAGCACCAGACACTTACTTGTCAATTTAAGAAAGGGCTGGAGAGATTGCTCAGAGGTTGAGAACTCTGGCTGCTCTAATAGAGGTCCTGAGTTTAATTCCAAATGGTATATATTCTTTTTTTTTTTTTTTGGTTTTTCAAGACAGGGTTTCTCTGTGTAGCTTTGGAGCCTATCCTGGCACTCGCTCTGGAGACCAGGCTGGCTTCAAACTCTCAGAGATCTGCCTGCCTCTGCCTCCTGAGTGCTGGGATTAAAGGCGTGTGCCACCAACACCTGGCCAAATTCTTTTTTTTTTAAAGTCAATTTAAGTATCTATTACAAGTTAGGATTAAGAATAATAATCAAAGCCTCTCAGCATACAGAGAAGGCAGTTATTTCTAGCTATCTGGCTAACAGGCAAAAGGCAAACACTGGTGGCTCCTTGTCTGTTTTCCTTTGCTGCTGCTGGGATTTCAGTCCCTGTCTTGTCCATGTTAGACTAAGAGGGGACCTGTGGGGAGGGGGAAGTCTGCCTTTACCTAGCCTGCCAGCTGAGCCTGCGGGGCTGGTGAACAAGCTTTTTAACTCTTGGCCAGCTCTGATTTGGGGGTCTCTGGGCATCTGTATTGGTAACTGAAGTTTTTACAGGATGATCTTTGGGGTGGCTACCAACTCAGGGGCTCATCTGATTCTCCTCATCCTCTCCATTGCCTTCCTTCTCAGCATCAGTCTCCATTGTCTTCAGGGAGAAGTGACTTCCTGGGTTACTCTTTTTGGCAGCCTGGCACACAGAAACACTGTCCCATTCCTCTGGTTGAAATTCTTATTTTTCACATAATAAAACCTAGTGTTGTTTCTAAAACCTTCCTTGCCATGACTATATCTGTAGGATAGACACTACTCATGTTGGGCCTTACAGGCCCAATTCCCTACCAGATAGATACCCATGGTGCCGGCTTGGGGTGGGCAGTACTGGGGATGGGCACTGGGAGGCTGCAGGTTCACATCCTTGATGCTCAGGGTTATGGGAACACTGATGGCAGCTGTAGCTCCTCCCAGTGAGATGTCACTCAGTCTGCAGCCCAGGTTCTCCGGGGTCTGCTTCACTCCCACAGCCAATCAAACTATGTTTCTGATTGTTCATTTACAGTACCTTGTGCTTTTCTGTAGCTTGTCTCTTTGTCAGCCTTAAAAAAACAATAAAATCTTTTCAGGCAAATGTGAAACATACAACACAAATACTATCTTTTTCTATAACAATCTCTGTAGTTGTAATTTACTTCACATGCCAATAATAGTTACATTTGATTTAAAGTACAATTCTTTTCTATAAAGTGGATTCAAATGTAAACCAAAGTTAAGGAATGAAGAACTTGTGATGTTAGTTCTAATTATCGACTTGACACAACCAGGAGTCAAGAGAATCTCAGCAGGGGATTTCTAAAATCAACTGGTTCTCCCCCCAGTTGCCTGCTGCCTGGGTATTTTATCCTAGTAACAGAAACAAAACTAAAACACTACTTTTGGATCCCTTGAGACTAGAGTTACAAATAGTTCTGAGCTGCTACTCAAACCTGAGTCCTCTTGCTACCTACTTACTGAGCCATGTCTCCCACCCAGAGACAACCTTCTTCACAATCTACCATGCAATTGGTGCACGCTGTTCTTTCCCTCACAATCTGTGGGATAATGCACTAGATAATCTGTAAAGGAAGCTTGGTGGTAAGAGAAGGACAAGCCACTGTGTGAGTGCACTCGGAAAGCCGACCGGCTGAACTTGAACGCCACTCTTCCCCCAGACCTGTACAAGTGAAGCCAGATACCCTGGTAGCAATCACTGTGCCTAAACTGCAGAGCTGTTCTTTACTAGTGAAAGTGATGAATTCAAATTCATAGTTTTTCAAGATGTTCAAGGACCTTAGTATTTTCATAATAGCTCAGGCTTGATTTTACTATCATTATATTTAATTTTATATATCTGTCTATTATTACTAGTGTGTGTGCATACGTGTGCATGTACCATGGAGTGTGTGGAGGCCAAGGGCAAATCTCACTTTTCACCTTTACACAGCCTTCAGGCCTGAACTCTGGCTGTCAAGCTTGCCTAGGAAACACCTTTACCCACTCAACTGTCTTGTTGGCCTTTGATTTTAATAAGATACAAATAAACTTTGCAATTTATTCAACAATTTGCCATAATTGGAACTATCATAAACACCAGCCAAAGAATAAAGAATCAAGGCTACAATGTTGGATTTTTTTTTTCTGTGAGAAAATGGCTTAATATAGAGAATATGGACTATCATGTGACAGAACAATTCAAAATTCACATATCTGCAAATTTAGATGATCAAAACTGATCCAAATGAAGAATTTTAAAAATACAATTAGTTAAATGTTGAAAACAGCACCAAGTAATGCCATTCACTAATGTAACAGATGCTTATTGAGGAGCCACTTACTGTACACTATCTGCATTTATTTATTTATTTATTTTATTGTTTTGATTTTCTGAGACAGGGTTCCTCTTTGGCTTTGGAGGCTGTCCTGGAACTAACTCTTGTAGACGAGGCTGGTCTTGAAGTCACAGAGAGCCACCTTTCTCTGCCTCCCGAGTGCTGGGATTAAAGGCATGCACCACCACTATCTGCATTTATACCTAATGTGTTTGTGAACTGTTGAAAAAGAAATCAGAAAAACAATCCCATTTCAATTGCCTCAAGAGACACACATCTTTTCAATGAGATAAGAGACACAACAAGAAGGAAACTCAATACAACAGAAGATGGAAGTGATACAGGAGAAACTGGGAATAATAAGTTGATGTTAAAAGGTCCACTAAACTTGCTTAGGAAATATAGAGTCACACAAATGGAAGTGGCTAAAGGAGCTCTCCCAGTTATCAGTGTGATTCTGCTGGGCAGGAGGGAGGACCCTGGTTAACAGCTGGGCAGGAGGGAGGACCCTGGTTAACAGCTGCCCAGGAAAATAGCCTTGGTCTCTTGGGATGACTATGGCAATATTTTTACTTTGTAAATCTTCCCATTTATCCAAAGAACCAAACCTTGGAATTTCTGTCTCTGTAAAACATGCTTAATCTCAAAGTGTAACTTGGGGCTAAGAACCACATAAGCTGATGGGGTTTCTGTTTGGGCGTTGTTTGTTTGTTTGTTTTTCCTTTATTGATCTCTAAATTATGAAATGATTTCTCTTTGGAAAGGCATATTGATTCCATAACAGAAAGAACCCTTGTATTCCTGGTTAATGGTAATAATGTTGTGAAAAGGGCTGTATTACCATAAGAACAGTAAAAACACATAGATTTGCTACAACCTCAATACAAATTTTAAGATGTTTTTCACAGAAATATAAAAAAGTTTAAAATGACGGGGAATCAGGAAAGACCCCGGATTAGTAAAATCCCTAGCAGAAAGGGTGATGCCAAAGGCATCGCAATACTTTATTTCAAAACATACCATAGAGCCACAGTAACAGAAAAAAGCATCACAGACAACAAAAAAGAAAGATAAACCCATGGAACTAAATGGAGAACCCAGAAGAAAACCCTTAGTTACTGCCCCGAGTGTTAACAAAGGTACCCAAAGTACACACTGGAGAAAGGAAGTTTCTTCAATAAATAGTTCTTGGACAATTGGATTTCAACATATAGAAGAGGAAACTAGATGGTCATGTGTCATCCTGTATAACATGTAGTTCAAGGGAATCAGACACCTTACAATAAGGCCTGGAATGTCTGAGTCAACTAGAACAACAGAGGGAAAACACTTAGAAATTTCTGAAGAGGCTTTGATATCTATGAAATATTAACAAGAATTTACAACTGGGGTTGCTTGAAAATTGTAAGCTTCTGCACGACCAAGTAAATTGTTAATAGAGTGTAGAGCCAACATGCAGAATATGAGAACTCCTGAAGGTTGTTCTCTACCCTCTACTTATATCAGGGCATGTGTGTGTTTGTACATATACATACAAACATCATATACAATAATAATAAATCAAATTTAAAAAGTATAACCAGCACATGGACAAATGAACTGATCATATTGTTCTAAAAAGAAAAGTAAATGGCCAAGAACTGTATAAAATTTGTTTATCATCCTCAGCAACCATCAAAATGAGCTGGTTCAGCAGTTAAGAGCACTTGCAGCTCCTGCAGAGGACCTGGGTCAGTTCCTAGCACCCATGGTGGCTCATCACCATATATAACTCTATTCCAGGACACCCAACACACTCATCTTTGAGGGCACCAGGTACACACACACACACAACACTACACTCACACACATGAAGACAGAACACTCACACATCAAAATAAAATTTAAAAAGAAACTCATAACTACATTGAGTGTTTATCTCACCCATGTGAGAGTGGCTATCATCAAAACAATAAACAACAAACATTGCCAAAGATTAAAGAAAAGAACCACCCCTGCCCTCCCTGTTGGTGTGAAAGATTAGTAAGTCACTCTGGAAAAATCAATGTGGAGGTTTCTCAAAAAAGGAAAATGCCGGCTGACTCAGTTAAGGGTACCAGGAACAAGTTCCTTCTTTCTTCTTCTTTCTTCTTCTTCTTTCTTCTTCTTCTGATTTTATTTATTTATTATGTACACAGTCTTCTGCCTGCAGGCCAGCAGAGGGCACCAGATTTCATTCAAAGTGGTTGTGAGCCTCCATGTGGTTGCTGGGAATTGAACTCAGGACCTCTGGAAGAACAGTCAGTGCTCTTAAGCACTGAGCCATCTCTCTAGCCCACAAGTTCCTTCTTATGGCGAGAGCTTTAAATCCCATTAGAAAATTGCTGGTTACTCCAATAATATTCATGCTACTATTGTGCCAGTGGGTTATCTTTTCAGGCCAGTTGTTGTTGCTCCAGGATTCACAGGTGAGTGAGACTGCGAATTACTCTTCTCCCCTTGTAATGCAGATAGAACCTGAAAGGTTCAGGCATTATGCTGGCCTGCCCCTGTTACCTGGTGAAACAGGCATTACCCTGGTCAGCCCAAGGTTCCATGGGAACTAAGTCTGCATGCAGGTGCAGAGGACCCCTTTAAAAGATAGGTCCCTGCCCGTTTACTCTCTCTGTTCCCGCTCTCTGTTTCCCCGCTCTACTCTCCCACCTATGCTCTCGCTCTGTCTCTCTATGGGGACCGGCCATGGCACTCAGCCATTACCCTGTTCCTCTTCTTAGTCTCCCCATTCTGCCTTATAATAAACTTATAGTCAATATGTCTGTCTCAGCAATTTCTCTTTTCTTCTTTTTAAACAAAACAATAACAGAACCTTCCAGTATTATGAATGAGAGCTGCAGGGACAGATATTCCAGTTGGGTAACAGCTAGATTTCTCAGTGTTTTATGACTCCATATTTGGTGTCTTCAGCAATAGGACTCACCATCAAGTTCTGGAGGGCAACAAAGAGCAATGGCAATAGCCAATGATATCTGAGGATGGAGCATGCTTGGCACTGGGATTTTTATTTAATGCCTATGGTGTCTGTGAGGGACAATGTCCCCCATTATAGAGTAACTCCATTTAAGGTTTTATGTCTGTATATGCATACATTTTATGAAGCTTCTAGGGCAGTAGGTTTCCATATGGTACTTTCAAAGGTCTTAAATGTTAGTTATCTCTCTCCTCCCCCATTTTACCCTGTTACATTATCAGGTGAATCTGGTAGTATTACTTTAGTATGACTAAACTGAAATAGCATTAAACTGCCCGAGTTTTGTCGGGGACCAAAATAGTTCCATTATGGGATGTCTTAAGGTCCAGCCTCAGGTTTCAGTAATGGGAGCTCTGGCCCACTATTGTATTGCTAATGCGAGCAGATCTGTTATTGTATATCATGGCCTCAGTGTAGACTGCCTCCTAGTTTGCATCTCTACAGGACTAAGCATCTGAATAGGCCTGCACCTGGGCGGGAGGTTAGATGTGTGAGTAACAGGGAGGACAGGGAATCAGGAGCCATGGAGCACAGAGAGGGGTCAGGAGGAGAGAAATGGCCTCCTCGTGGCCATGGAAGCATGGTTAAGAAACAGCCAAGAAGATGCTAAATAAACAAGAGACTCTAGTTTTGCATCATGGAACTGAGAGCTCTATAAAGATGACAAGATGCCTGTGTTTGGTCTTTATCACCGTTGGTTTGCTGGGAGCTTTCAAGTCCACGCTCCCCCACTCAGGCCGAACTTCATGGCTTCCATGGCTTGGGCTGAGACAGGCCGGGCCAAGACACTTAATCAGTGCATCTCCCAAGCTTCATTAGACAAGTATTTTGCAGTAGATGGTCAGAGATGCACATCTGATTAGCATGCAGAAAGACAGTGGAGTTCTCAGCTCTAAATAGGACATCTAGGGATCCTTGCAGAAGAGGGGACAGACAGATTGTAAGAGTCACAAGTAGTGGACATCTGCAGGGAAACTGAAGGGACCAGCTCCCCATTTTGGCAGCTATAACAGCCGAACACGCACTTGCCTGACCTTGTCTTGGTCACTAGGAGGTCAGATGCCTGCCTCGTGGCAAGGAACCAATCAGAAGTTAGCTGGTGGCGCTATGCTTTATGGCTCTGGGTGTGCTTTACAGACAAGTGCACAGCAATGACGCACGCCTCATAGCAACCACGCTGGGAGGGCCTATGGGCCATAACAACCAGTTGGCCAATCAACACAGGGCAAGCCCTCCAAGCCTGGAGGCACACCAATCCTGAGCCTAGGCGTACCCCTAGACAATCCCCCTTATGCTGCCCTATAAGATCTTTATGCAGACAGTTCGAGCTGTCTTTTTTAGCCATCCGCCATGGTGGGTGGATGAAAGACCCGAGCTAACATGGGGTTAGCTCGTTAAACAACTACAATAAAGCCCCTAAGAGGCTGCCCCTCCATGCTCCAGCAGATGGTCCTACACAAATGCACATACAGTCAGGAGACTCAGGAAACTTGAGGGAGAGAGAGAGAGACAGACAGAGAGAGAGAGAGAGAGAGAGAGAGGAGAGACAGAGGGAGAGAGAGAGGAGACAGAGAGAGAGAGAGAGAGAGAGAGAGAGAGAGAGCGAGAGAGGGGGGAGAGAGAGAGAGAGAGAGAGGAGAGAGAGAGGGAGAGAGAGAGGAGACAGAGAGAGAGAGACAGAGAGAGAGAGAGAGAGAGAGAGAGAGAGAGAGAGAGAGAGAGAGAGAATGCATGCACATGGAGTTGGGAGAGAAAAGCAGTGGTGGCTAAAATAATGACTCCATTAACAAGTTACAAGTAATTCTTAAAATGAAATATAACACCCCCGGAAGCTCAGGCTTCCAGGATCTCAGCCCAGGACCTTTGCCACCCTAATCACCATGGGAGACGAAAACTTGATGCAAACAGCACGAGGCTTTATTATAGATGTTTAACAAGCTAACCCCATGTTAGCTCGGGTCTTTCATCCACCCACCATGGCGGATGGCTAGAAAAGACAGCTCGAACCGTCTGCATAAAGATCTTATAGGGCGGCATAAGGGGAGTGTCTAGGGGTAAGCCTAGGCTCAGGATTGGTGTGTCTCCAGGCTTGGAGGGCTTGCCCTGTGTTGATTGGCCAACTGGTTGTTATGGCCCATAGGCTCTCCCAGTGTGGTTGCTATGTTCTGCGTGTCATTGCTGTGCCCTTGTCTGTAAAGCACACCCAGAGCCATAAAGCATAGCATCACCAGACAACTTCTGATTGGTTCCTTGCCACAAGGCAGGCGTCTGACCTCTTAGTGACTAAGACAAGGTCAGACAAGCATGTGTTCTGCTGTTATGGCTGCTGAAAGGGGCAGGCATCTGACCTTAGTGACCAAGACAAGGTCAGGTAAATGCATGTTCAGCTGTTATGGCTGCTGAAATGGGGAGCTGGTCCCTTCAGAACTTATTTACAAAATTCAACTTTTATGAACGTGCATGGAGTCATTGTGTTATAATATCCATGATAAACATTGAAATAAATTTTCTTTAAAATGGATTATAACCGGGCATGGTGGTGCATGCCTTTATTTCCAGCACTTGGAGGCAGAAGCAGGCCAATCTCTGTGAGTCTGAGGCTGGCCTGGTCTACAGAATGAGTTCTAAGACAGACAGCCAGGGATACACTGAGAAACCCTGTTTCAAAACAGTACAACACAACACAACACAACACAACACAAAGGGGTTACAGCATGCCTGTAAGTACTTTTAGAAACAGGATTCACTGCTTTGGCTGTACCTTGAGTTTCACTTAAATATACATGTCAGCAAATTAACCAACAGCTAGTCAGCAACCATGGCACATGGAAGCTGTTCTTTGGTTTTTGAATTTGATGGTTGCTTGTTTTGCTATGCCAGGAAGCCAAATCAGGGCACCAAATCCATTAGGTAGAACTCAGTCCCTGGGTCACTCCCCTATTCCCCTACATAGTTAGGGACAGAGCCACACCCACTGGCTTGTCATTCAGAGCAGAGTCCACACTGCAGCAGTAGAGGCACATTTCCCACCATGTTTTCTAGTCCCAGTTAAAAAACTAAACATACTTTATCCAGCTTTATCAGGTAGTTTCTACCTGATACAGTGACATGCTGACATACATATGCCTGCAATCCCTCAGCAGTACTCAGACTCGGAAGAAAGTCTGTGTGTATCCCTAATGTGGGGTACCAAATAATTCTGTTATGGAATATTTTGGGGCCCAGCCTCCAGCTCCTGCAAACATGGAACACCGGAAAGCTCCAGCCCACCATTGTATTGCTAATGCCAGTAAGGCTACTATTGTTTACCATGGCCTCAGGGTAATATGCCTCCTATTTGCATCTCTGTGGGCCTAAGCATCTGAATAGGCCTGCTCCTGGGCTGAGGTGCGAGGGGTGTGAGTAACTAGGGAGGAGAGGAGTTAGGGGTGAGCAACCAGAGGAGAGAGGAGAACAAAGAGAGAAATGGTTCCCTCGTGGTATTGGCAGGATGGTTAAGAAACACCAAAAAGATGGCTAATAAAGAAATGATTCTAGTTCTACAACATGGAACTGAGAGCTCTCTAAAGATGACAAGATGCCTGTGTTTGGTCTTTATCGCCACTGGGTTACTAGGAGTTTCCAGGTCCACACACCCCCACTCAGGCCAAACCTCATGGATTAAGGCTGAAACATTCTGGGTCACGACAAAATGGCGCCCGAACTTGGGGCCTGAGAACAGGGGAAGAAACCATGGACACCACGAAGAAATGGACAAGGCAGATGCTTGGACAATTCGAAGAGATAGTCACCATGGGTGAACTGGTTGGAGAAGAAGCATGTGCAGGAAAAAGCAGAAAGAACTAAAAATTCTGGTATAAGTACCCATACATATTTATGGATATCTAAATACATAAATATGTATATAAACATATCCTTTGTGCTCATGTTATGTAATGAGCATGTATTCACCTATTTGTGTTGTATATAATATGTAATAAATGTCCTTAACATATAGGTTTTATGTGTTTCCAAGCAATATTTTCCGGTCTCAGAAGGACCCAAGGATAGAAACGAAGATTTTTATCTTCAAAGGATGGAACCAAAGAAATTGTTGATACACACTACTCAATTACTCTACTCAACCGTGTCACTAAACAACAGTTGTGCTAGAATGGTCATCACCTTACATTGGTCGATGTTTACTATTTAAAAAATACTTATCAAGTTAATTGGATAAATAGTATCACATTACTTATGTACTTCTGATAACCTTGCAGAACCTGAACTGTAGTCCTAGCAGAAGTGTAAAATTTGTTAAACATGCATGCTAGCCCAAACCAGGATTCATTTTAGGTCAGAATGATTGATCTTGAAATATTCCTACAGTCTTACTTAGCAAGCTTGTCTTTCTCCTCAGCAGGGAACAGCTTCTTGGTCCTTCCTCCTTTCCTTTTGACAGTCAAGCCACTGGCATTATAGTCAGTGGCCATAAGACACAGGTTCTCTGAGACTTCCAATTCCAGACTCGGCCACTTCTTGCTCATTTCTTCAACCTTTGAAGTAAGTTTGAGGCAAGGATAAATGTTACTGTTCAGAAAAACTAACTTTTATTGTTTTCATCACTTGTCTCTTATTTTTCACTGCATATGTTTAGTGGATAAAAAGATTTCTGTAGGGCTGGCGAGATGGCACAGGGGTTAAGCACATTTGCTGCTCTTGTTGAGGTCTTTGGTTCAGTTCCCAGCACCCACTTACAAGGCAGCTCACAAAGTCTGTAACTCTAGTCCCAGGGGATCCAATGCTCTCTTCTGTCCTCAGAGGTCAGTGCACACACACGTACACATACATATATGTATGCAAATATTAATAAAAATAGATACATCTTTTAAAAAGATTTTTACATTGTTTAATTTTAGCATTATAGACTATTGAATATTTTTTTGTAAATTCTGGTTTATTTTATTTCTGTTTTATCTAAAAAAAACAGAGTTCTATAAAACTTCAAAAATGTGCATTCTTAATTCTGTGCCTTTTTGCATTTACTCTTTGTCATCTAGCATTTTCACTGCCTGTTTGAACTGTAAAGGACAGGAGAAAACACATCACCTTCAGTATTTACTGCCAGGATTGCACATGGGAACATGGGCAGTAAGATTCCGAGAATGTGCCATCATGGATATTAGGAACAGAAATGAGTGACTCCACTCTGCACAGCCATTCTCTCTCTGTTAACACTGACAACTTTTTATTTTCTTTAAATCAACTGGCTACTGGAGTATCAAAACAAGTGGAGGTGCCCACTGACACGGAAGTGACCAGTCCTGTGCTGAGCAGCAAGCAGGTGAGGCTGCTGAGCTGATTGGTTCAAACTCTGGCAAGGAGGTGCCTCCCAAATGGGACAGGCACCAACTGTGATATTTCACAAGTAGAACATGCCCAAGTTATTCCTATTTTAGCTGCTTTTAGAGGCCATTATGTGGCATTTCACAAGGCCACAAGTCACAATGCAATCCCACGATGCTTGGTCAGATAAGTGACCCAACAACTCTGTTAATCAGCTGAGTTAAAGGGAAGCCCTGTGTGAATGAAATCCTGAGTGAATCTGTGTTGTTGACACTGGGGAAAGGTAGACACTGGCACACCATGTCCAGGACTTCAGTGCCTCAGCTCATGGAGGTGACAAAGCTTCCCTGGGTTAGGCTCAGGATGGCAAAACCTTCCCAAGGAATCTGATATGAATGTTGATAGTGTGTACACAAAATGTTCTTCATAGCTTTCCCCCGCTCTGATGGCCTGGAGACTACTCCTGCTGAGATAGCTAGACCTGCCTCCTCGGTCCACCCTGGCACAGTATCCCTGCCTCCTTGATTATCTGAATGTAACACGCCCACCTCAGCTCTACGCAGTAATCCTGCCTCCTTGTTCAGCTGTTCAGCCCAAACACACTAGGCATCTTAGTGCTTCATCCTCTCTACTAAGACCCAGTCCACTGATCCTAGCTTTCCCTATGTCTGTCTCTTCTTCATTCCCCTCCCCGACCCAGTCAAGTCAATCCTGGGAGCTGTGCAAGGATGCTGCAAATTTGCAAAATATTTTAATATTTTCCTAGGAGGGGAAATGTTTCATCTATATTTGTTCTTTTTCAATACATCTCTAGATTTTTATGAATCTTTACAATTCAATGCATCTTAGACCTCAGTGTTTTAATCTGTATCAAATATATTTTTTGGCTGATGATGTATATTCTTACATGATATAAAAATCATATGTTCTGAAACCAGATTTACTAAAGGACATAATGTATGGGATGCTTTAATCAAGACAGATTTTTGATTCATGTGAAACTGTAAGTGTATATTCCTGCTCCCAGAGTATTACCAAGTAGTAATGTGGAAATTACAGTTTCCAATGGTCTGAACAGAAAATGTCTAGTTTGCACACATCAAAGGTCAACGACTGTGTTGGTTTGAGTTTGTTGAACTTAGAGACATTTTTATTTCTTCTCATTTATTACTTAGTTCCAACTGACAGCTAAACCTGCCTCCTTGGTCCACTTGTCCACTTAACTTATCCTTAAACCATTGCAAGTACACTTATCAAAAGCCAACAATACCATACTCCTCTATGTTTATTTTATTTATGACATGGGATAAATTGATTTTCTAGGTTGTATGCTATTAGGATGAAAGATTGGATTTGATTAGTGAAAAATCATTCTGAAAATATTTTCCTTAACTTTTATTTGGACAGTAGAAAGCATCTCTACATAGACACAGTTTCATACATGGATAATCCCACTGTTTAGGGAAGCTTTTGTTTGTTTTGTTTGGGACACAGCCTCTCTATGTAGCCCTGGATTGTCCTAGAACTTGATATGTAGAACAGGCCGGCCTCATACTCACAGAGATTGTCTACCCGTTTCCCATGTGCTGGGATAAAAGGCATAGACCACCATGCCAGCCTGCATGGAAGTTTTTCATCAGCAAAAGTCAGTGGAATCAATTTTTGAAAACAAGAATAGCAGCATCTTTTTGAAAGTGAAAATTTTCTTTCTTTAGCCGGCCTTGAACTCACAAGAGATCCACTTGTCACTGCAGCAGTAGGGTAATCCCTGAGTTATTTATATGATCTTACCATTGTCTTTAGTTGCAGAAACACTGTGATTAAGATTACTGTGTTATGCGCATAGCTATCAGGTATATCTATTGCTTGCATTTGTGTCTGTGCACCGCTCGCCTGGCACCCAAGCAGGCCAGAAGAAGGCGTCAGATCCTCAGGAACTTCAGTTACAGATGGTTGTGAGCTGCTATGTGGGTGCCTGGAATCAAATCTGCATCCTTTAAAAGAGCAGCCAGTGCTCTTAACTGCTGAGTCATCTCTCCAGCCCCTGTATTTTGTGTCATTTCAGCCACAGGATTCATTTCTTTGAGGTATGTAAGCCATGACTGACCTTTTGGCTTACTAGGTTTGGGTTCTATCCAATATCTAATTTCCAGTTCTTACTTTTAGCATGCCAGTATCAAGCATGTTTCTTCTTGACATTTCAGTTCTAACCCTTCCAGGGACTTTATATGCGTATCTTCTGAACCACAAGGATCTCCTTGTTTGTGTGCAAAGTGTGTTTGTTCAGTGTTTGCTTCATTACTCAGCAAACGCAGAGGACGGCTGGCAAGTGAACGCTCCAACCAAGAGCATGGAGTAGATGGAGGGCACGTTCAGTGTGCCTTTGCTTAGTTTGGGAAAGTCCACGCGACTGACTTCAGACACGCACTCCACACACACCTTTACCCTCACATCATGCAGGCTATTTGCCGAGGTTACAGATGATTACCTTGAACTGAGTTCGTCCTCTATGGCTACCTGGAAGTGGTTCTTCGTCACAGCACATGTTTTCAAACACATGGCCAGCTGTGCACTGTAACTCACAGCAGCGTTTGTCTGGCTCCCGATTATTCCCTGTTAGGTCTCCAGTGAGAGACGCTTTCTCAAAGGCTTTCACTGAAGAAACCTCTGAGTGTAGTGGTGCACACTCTCTATCACATTTCTTGTTTATTTCACGGTCTTCAGACATTTTCTCCAGATGCAAAGGTGGAAGGTGGATTTGTTTGCTTTCCTTCTGAGACTGAGGGGGCACTGGCCTGGCTGGATCTGCAGATGTGTTTTGTGTTTGGGGGCATGTCTTTGAGAGAACTTTATCCTTCAGGACCACAGGATATAGATGAGAAAAATGGAAATAAATATATATTTACATTTAAATTTCTGAACATATGTTTAGATGTCAGAAATCATTGGGCAGTACTTTTTTTTTTTAAAAAAAAGTAATTAAAAAAAAAGAAAAATAATTTACTTAACAAACATGAACTGGAAAAGTTATGTTAATCACTATTGTTTGGGCAAAACAATTATGAGTTAAATTAATTATTAATTAATGCTCTGTGTGTTAATTTACCAAAGATGAATCTTTTATTTTTAATATAAACCTTATATAAAAATATTTGACCTCACTGGACCTCAAAAAGTGAGCCATGCCTGTGAGCTTCAGATCATTGTTTGACAAATAACTGAGATTGAAACTATTAAAAGACAAACCCAAAGCTTTACATTACTGACAGCCAGAGCACTAACACCAATCACACAAAAACTAATTGCTAAGTTGTAATTTAAATCACATGGCAACACACTGTTGTAATCTATATGGGCTCGGAGTATTAAGGTTTAATATACTCCAACATCCACAGAAGACAGTGCGTTACACAGCGTCAACCACATTCTAAATATCTATGCTACCCAAGGACAAAGCCACTCTCAGCCCAGTCAGAGGAGCCTGTTCTCACCGTGAGCAGTGCTTAATGCAAAGGCTCATGGTTTCCCAAGATGCTGAGAATAAGTGACCCTTGGGTGCTCAGCCTTAAACAAGGCATTCACAGCACCCACTCAGGGCTCAGGGGACACTGTGAAAGAAGGGACGGAAAGAATGTAAGACTGAAAGATAGGGTGACGGCTATGAACTGTCATCCTAGACTCAACACAAGCAATGCAATCATTAACTTGCCGTAGCTGTGGCCACCTGCCCTGGGTTTACACAGGCCTGGCCTGTCAATAGCCAGTCGTGGGGGTGAGGGGCTCAGGGAGCCCTCCTTTCACTGCTAACTATTGGGAGAAGGGAAATCATGGTCATCAGTTGTGCGCTCACAGCTGAGCCCACCAGGAATCACAGATGGCTCTGGAAACATGGTCATGCAGACAGCCCTTGTAAAACTCAGTGGGTCACAAATCAACATGAATAGACATGAATGTGAGAGAGAGTTTTTTGGGAATGGGGGTGGATAGGGGTGGATAGGGGTGGTAGAGAGATGGGAGAAGGGTGGAGTGAAGGGCAGTATGCATTGTGAACATGAGGGAAATGTTCCAAGAACAGATTTATAATAAAAAGCTTCGTGGCACGCATCCGTTTATGACAGGGAAGTGGAACACCACAGACAGGGACTCTCCGCCGACAGCTGGGGGGCTCCCAGCGGGCGCGGCTCGTCTTTACGCCTACTATTTACTTCAATACACATGCTGGGAACAATTATTGACCAAGAGACACTATTAATTCTTTGAATTTCCCAGTAGTCTTTGCAGCTATGATACAGTAAATTTAAGCTACAGGGCATGATTTCTGACAGTGGCCATCACTGCTAGGCGAGTGGAAGTTCAGCTACACAGGTCTATGGTGCTAGCTGACCTCTCCCTATCCTCAGAGGAAGTTGCACATGGAAGCAGGGAAATACTCAGAAAAATGTCTGCTCACAAGCAACAACTTTAAGAGTACACTGTTTTATAACTTGTTAAAATGTTTAAAAATTAAATGGCAAATATGAAGTAAAAATTGCTTCTGAGCCAGGTGGCGGTGGCACACGCCTTTAATCCCAGCACTTGGAAGGCAAAGGCAGGAGGATCTCTGTGAGTTTGAGGCCAGCCTGGTCGGCAGAGCGAGTTCCAGGACAGTCAGGGATACATAATGAAACTCTGTCTTGAAAAACAAAAACAAACAAACAAAAATTGCTTTTGAAAAGGTTATTAAGAAGTTACTATTTGAAGTATGGCACATTATTAACTCAAAGAAAACACAAATGAGAATTTATATTAAAATCATACATACTTGCAGTTGGGTATTTTCACTGTCATCAAGACTCTTTTGTTCTGATTGCATTGTCACCTCAGAGTCCGATTCTGCTGTAACACATATACATTTCTCTTAAAAAACTACTCACTTAGAAAAGCAGCACTTAAAAATAGATGAGAAAAACACACTTCTAAAAGAATAATGGCTATTTTCAATTTCAAATTAAAAATTTAAATCAAGCTTAAAATGAAGGTGGCTCCTTTATTAGAAAATATTATAAGCAAGCTACTCCACACACACACACACACACACAGACACATACACACACACACACACA